GAAGCCAATATAAATGTCAATGGGCTTTAACAGGGAGCAATCTTTCGAAAAATGGATTTTCTTTCTGTCCAATCAAACGTGAAGAATTTCTTCCATTGTCACAGATAAACTGATGTTTTTTATAAAGCCTTCCAACTCGTCTTCTCGCCAAGCTCTTTCGATAAAATCTCGTAAATAAAACGGTCTGTCTCTGTTGTTATTGCAGAAGGAGAAAAATGTTTTCTTTTGCTTGTCTGTGCAAATATTTCAGCACGGTGTAACACAAACATCTACAGACTAAACACTGACATACAAAGGTTCTGGCCTCGTGTTGTGCATGAGGATTTGCAATTGGGTTGCTTTTGTTTTCGTGTCCTCTGATGGTCTGTAAAGCAGATGTGCTGTTGTCTTTGTAATGGCAAGAAATAAAGCTGTGGCATGTAGATAAATAGGTAGATCGTGGAATTGCCAGATGTAAAGGTTCAATGTGTAAGTCATGGCAGAGCAGATTACTGAAATTTACCAGTACCCCTCCCAAATGTATGCCCATTGGCAGCAGTCCTAGCCCTCATTCCTGGTTTAAAAAGCACTGCAGTCAACCATCACAAAAGCAGAGCTGCATCAAACATCCCAATGACACACTGACAAATAAACCCAAGTTCAAAACAGCCGCTACAAAAACAGGAGCACAAAAGCAGACACTGCCCATGTCTAAAAGCTCATATTTGTTGGAACAACAGACATGCCGTGGTTCCCTGTTTGACTAAAGAAAAGACACACGAGGCATTTTCTAGTGAAAAATGCACTACGAGATGTTTCCCCACACAACAAGGAGACCTGTTTGACTAACATCCTGCCTGTGAACAATAAACGCTTCACAATGTGAAGAAAAAGGTATTCTTTTTCCTTCCATCCTCTCCATGCTCAACACTCTTTGTTTTCTCCATATCCTGTTAAGGAGCCTTGGAACAGCTGGCACTGCTGAATCGAAGCAGATTTTAGATGATGTCAAAATATTGCACCAATGATGACAGCGCAAATAATGAAAGCACTAAAAAAGTCCAGCTTTATCTTAACTATTGATTAATTATACATGAAATATAAATTTCAGATATGATGGAAATGTGCATTGATGTACAGGGAGAAAAGCACTGCATACATACTTTTTTGGTTAGGAGTGAACATTGTAGCAGGGGTGCAGTTGTCACAGGTTTGTATCTTTGATTCTGTTAATGTGCACTCGAAATGAGATGCAATGTTTACCAGCAAAGGGGAAACAGCACTACCTGAGCAGACAGCTAGCTCTACAAGAAAACTGGAAGTGCGCTGTCTCCACACTGTGGTTCAAACCGTTAAATACATCCTTCCATGTTTTTTTCCTAGACATTTGGTTCATTTTGTTAAGAAGATAAGTAAGACATAATAGTACTTTTCAATCTGTTACGTAAAGATATCCTGATTACGATATGAAACAGGATTTTTCTTTCAAGAAAAGGATTATTTAAAAGCACCCCAAACTAAGACACTTTATGTAAATACATCTAAAGAACATTTCCATATTATATTCACATTATATCTCCCAACTAAATGTTGTTTATGAGATTTTGTTGTTTAGGTATAACAGAAACTAGTAATACAGCAAACCGGTTATGTCTAACGTCAAAAGAACAAAATGCAACCACAGAAAACGGAGCAGTCAAAAGGAGCAGTCAAAGCCCGAGTCCAGGTTTCAGAGTCAAAAACAGACAGATGGTCACTTAGATGGAGCAGCATGAAGGTCAAAATGCGACCTGGTAAGTGGAGAGTGGGGAACTATGTTCTGAGGGATGACCAAAATGAGGAAGTGGACGCAGGTGAGCTGACTGAAGGGGATTAGAACCAGGTGCGACGGTTCGTGCAGACAGGTGACTAGTAGAAAACAATGGAAGACTGAGGACATCTGGTGGGTGGATAGTGTGATGCACGATGTTGTGGCCAATAACGGCAAACCCCAAGGCAGAATTATGACAAATAGACAACAAGAAGAATGAAATTTGGTGCCAGTTGAGACCATAAGGTTCGTGAATCTACAACAGCATTACGTTAACATACATTTATAAAAACAGTCCTTGATTACAGCAAATATTGTAGGGAAAAGTGCTACTTATTATTGTTTTGGAAATTATGTGAGATGCGATTTACTGTAAGAACTCTCAGGAGACTCAGACGTCTTACTCGTAAAAATGTAAATAAGGAAAATAGATTAAAAGCGAATGTTAAGATACTTGTTGTGAAGAGCCTCAGTTCTGAAGCTTCTTTCTCGAACAGATCATACTTATGGTCAATCTAAATTTCTCCCTGTCTTTCTAGACATGTTTGAATCAACTTTCTGAACTACTACATGCTTCTAACCCCAGTCATTAAAAACACTAATCCCATTTCAGATTAAAAGATTAATCTCAGATGACATTACATCAGTTTGACACCTCCACTGTCTCACCAAAACAGGCATTATTTTAATAGAAAATCCTTCACAATATCCGTTTTTATGGTCTGACCAAGTTTTTTTAATAGAATTTTCTATTTTGTTTGTTTGTTTTTGTTTCCATTTTATTTTCTATTCTGATATATAATTATTACAGCAATGCAAAGGTCTACCGTGACAGTGCAGCCTTGCTCAAACAGAAAAGTCAGTCGCATATGCCTGTAAATTAACCAGCAAAAATCAAATTCACCTGTGGGGATTTAGTATTACACCTAAGCGTTAGCATGCTGCTGTAACAGCCTGCACTGTTTTGGGAAGACTTTCTGCAGGATTTTAGAACATGGCTGAAGGGATTTCCATTCAGCCACAACGGCATTAATGAGGTCTGGCAACTGATGTTGGGTGATAAGGCCTGGCTAACAGTTGGGGGTGCAGTTAAGCCCAACAGTATTGGATGAGGTCTAGGTTAAGGCTCTGTGCCCTGGTTGCCTATTTTTCCATATTGAACTGGGAACATCATTTTCATTTTTTTTCATGGGTTTGTGCAAAATGATGCTACTAACATAGACGTATTTGAAAAATACATGAATGCTATACTTTAGCTTTCTTTTCTACAAACACAGAAGCTGCCCAAGGGAATGCACAGTCTGACCTCAAGATCTGTGATAAAGAAGCTCCCGTTACATCGAGGACTGAAGTAGAAACCTCCAGGCTGCAAGCTTTAAACACACTATGACATTTGCTGGATTTGTAATATTGATCGTTTCTTGGTGTGCAGGAGGTCCTGGGGGTTTAAATACAGGACAGGCCCCCGTTTGTCAAAAACTAGCTTTGGGAAAGTGGCCAGCTGGAAATGGCAAGGGATGTAGTTTAGTTTTAATAAATGTATTTTATTAAATTTAAAAAAAATATATATGAGAAAGTCAGTAATTTCAGCAAGGCAATGAGTGATTGTGAGCCATATGAGTTGCCAGGTTGTTCAAAGTGCAAACGCAGAAGCCTAATAGCAGGTTAACTAGCGGGGCATCATTTATAGGCTGGGTGGTCCAGATGAGAAACATTAAATAATAACCTTAGAGTAATAGAGTAACCTCCATCAAACCTCCAAGATAAACCGAGTGTGGGCCACTGCGTGTTAGGGCATCATTAAAATATTAGCGTTCAAACTTTTTTTTTTAAATGGTTTCAACAGTTTGCTTTCAGTTACTGATTATTTCATACATCCTAAATTAAATGCTATCCTAAATGTATCGGAGCGTAACTGCGCTTTGTTTTTGGTGAGGGATTTCCTGGCTGCCTGTCTTACTATTGGCATATGCCTGCCCTGGATGATGCGCTTCTCTTCCCAGGCATGACACACTTACTTGGCTGCAGAGCCACGGGACAGAAACACGGCGAGGAAGCAAGAGGACAGAAGCAGGCGAGGGAGGTGAGGATGCGGGTAAGAAAAGCGCGACAGATGACGATGATGATGGCGAAGACGGGGATGAAGATGAGAATGATGATGCTATCGACGGAGGAATGGTCGTAGAAGAAGCGGAAGAAGAAGAACGGAAAATAAAGCTCTGCGGGATCGGAGGATAGTAACAGTGGTGATGCTGATCGTGAGGCAGTTTGGATTGTGAGTACGGGACCGCAGAGGCGAGGATGCTCGGACGCTCGGAGCACCTGCTCGCTCGGTTTTGATCATTGTGCAGGGTAAAACCTCGGGTATCACCGAGAGTTTAACGAAGCGCTATTCTGAGGAGGTGGGCCAAGTCCCAGGAGGGAGAGAGAGGGAGAGAGAGAGAGAGAGCGAGAGAGAGAGCGAGCTCTCCGAGGACCTTTGGACTGAGTGCCGGTGATCCAGCAGGGATGTTGTTGTTCTGTTGTCAGTGATGTGAGGCGACATTAAGGAGCTGGTGAAAGGAATCCTGACACATATTCCTACATTTTTGCAGGTAAGTAGCAAATTGCTCTGTATCGCTTTCTGTGTCTCTCTCCTCATCCCAAAACTCTCTCTGTCTCTGGTGATCATATTGCTGCAAACACGTACACCCTTCTATGGAAAGATATAACACTAAATAGGGAGTTACAGGGAGGGGTGGTTGCAGTAAGTTCATGTTGACCTCCTCCTCACAGTATTTTGCCTCCCACGGAATAACATTATGTAATATTCCAGTAGGTGGACAGAGAGGAGATTAACAAGAATCTATAAAGTGTTAGCTGGTGCCATGTAAGTACATTTATTTTATTACTTGCATGCACACTGCACACACACTCTAGAAACACATTGTACTAAAGTTACTGCATGCTTGGTCATTTAAATTAAAAACATACACACAACACATAATATATCCTACAGCATGACTTGCAAACAAATGCTGTTCATAAATTGTCACATTAGTGGTTATAGTCTATAAATTGATGTATAGTAACTCTAATAGAATCTCACTGCTTAATTAGTGGCTTTTACTGCTATTTTAAGTAGTTTTGTTAATTATAATTTAAACTTTTACATGTGGGAGAGGGCTTTTGAACTGTTGAATTAATTGAAAAGTGTCCAAGTATTAATTCATATTGACGAGTTGTAACGTGAAGATGGACAAATGCTGAATAAATGCACATTGTGAGTAAAATAATATATTTTCATACTCTACATTTAGCTAACATCCACAACGCTGGCACATTATTGGTGAACTCTGTGACACAGGGGAGAAATAAAAGAGTAAATACAAAAAACACAAATTGTAGGAGGCAATTACATGTAAGGCAAATTTACTGTTGGGTACCACAAACACCGTAGGTCCCTATAGGAGTATTGTAGGCGTGTTGTAGTGATTTTTGGATAGGCTCATCTCTATCTCGCTTGCTCAGCTTTCCTCCCAGGCTTTCCTCCCACACACTTTAACTCCTTTGTTTCAGCAGTGGAGTACAGTAGCCTTACAACCCTGCAGTTACATTAAAACTAACAAAGAGGAATGCTGCAGCCCAATGTCACTTTATCCCTTAGATCAAATACTTGGTTGTGTAACAAATATTCGGGGGCATAGAAGAAGAAGTACAGATAGCATATAGGTCAACTTGATAAGAGAAATCAAAATAGCAAAGAATAAATGCTTAACAACTCGAGAATACAAAAACACGAAATTCCCCAGACATGGTAAAAGTGTAGTTAGCTCTGTCCTTGTGTTAAAAAGACGTATTTCCAGTTTTATTATGTGTGACATTTTCGGTGACATGTGGGTTGACGGTTTGATCAAAAGAGACTTGCTGTGTCAGGGCTGCAGGCACTTCTTAGTGCTCAGAGTCCCCAGAGAATATTAAAGCTCTGCCATGGGTTATCTAAGTGGTGCCTGTCTCCACTCAGCTATGAAGGTCAATGCTGCAAAAAGCCCTTTGACTTTACTCTGACACATACACTGTAACTTCTAACAAATACTTTAAATAAAGTTGGAGTAAACACTGGTGTTGAGAGATTTCTTAAAAATTTATTTAGACATTTTTTTTAAACTTATGACATCTCATGTTTGGTATCGGTGTGCAGGGACCTTTCAGGTTAAATAGTTCCGTGTAAATGTGCCTGGAGGTGCAAGTAGAACAAAGGAAGAACATGTGTTAACTTTAGGAAATTGATGTTTGCATGTTTTAATCCAAAGATTTAATGAAGATGTGGAAAAATGACAGAGCCTTGCAATTATCATGAACCCCACTAATCTCTCTTTAATGAAGCAAAATATTATTTGTTAGTTGTGTGCACAAGTAATTTTACAGTGTATTTCACAGTGGAATTAGATTAATTGATGCTCTTTATCTGCTTTCTATGCTACAAATGACATAACTAATGTCACCATATGTCTTTAAAAATGTGATACATGTGGTTGCGTTGTATGTGATGTATTATTAAGACAACTTAGTGATTTTCCACAGAAGGGATCCTTTAATGCAGTAACAGGGTTAACGTAGATTAAGTGACAACCTTGAAACAAGCGATGAACACTGAGCTCCATGGGGACTGAACTTCCGATCCCCTCACTGTGGGGTTCAGTTCTGTGACCCACCCGTCACAGGAGCTGAACTCCTGGGCTTTAAAGGGTGGCATGGACACTCTAACCAAGGGTCCTGTCTGCCCAGCTCGAATCAGGAGTTGCTCTGAGATTGGTGCCGTACCCAGGACTGACAGGTTGAATGGATGACAGGGCTGTGTGGGCCAAATAGACTGTCAGAGAGAGCTGTGAGGAGATGGATGAGAAGAGGGAGAATGGGACACCGAAAGAACATCAGAGAGAGGGAATACCAGAAAATAGAGATGAAGAAATGATGGAGTGCTGTTGTGGCTACAGGCAATACCTGATTCCCTCAATTTCTCTTTCTCTAACTGTTCCTGTCCCTCACCCTCACCCCCTTTTCTTTTCCTATCATCGCCTGCTTTTCTCTAATCTATGGGGTATTACAAGCTCTGCACAGTGTCTGGAGCTGTTTTGCTACAGAACGAGTGTAGCACCTTAGAAATGTGTGATAGCTACTGTGACAATGGGCCCTACTTTCTGTATAAAACCACTAAAATTGCTTATAAATCGTAAACTATTAGTTTTTAAAAATTTAGGAAACAAAATACTGCTAACAACCAATGAAATGCTAAATGTTTATCAGTCATTGGTTGGTGTATGTTTTATGAATCATGTATTCTCCTAGAACAGAAAATACAGTTATTAAGTCAAAGCTGCCTAAACACAAAGTTCTCTTTAGCATTAAGCCTGTGATGTCCGTGTTGCACCGATACCCAGCCCAGTAAGTCTGGTGTCTAAACCAAACCAGCTAGTAAAGGCACAAATAAACTAAAGTATCAAAAAAATCAAAATGGCAAGTATAACGAGACACAAGCTGCAGGTTTGCTTATCACCATCTTCTAAAATAGTATTGTAATCATTAATTTAAACCACTGACGGTGCATAAACAATGGGCGTAGATTCTGGGTCTGAAAAATGACGCAACAGCACAAGTCCCTTTAACGTTCATTATTTTTATTAAATTATTATTTGCTAACTAAAGTCATAGTGACTATGTCCATCTTTTACATACAGTGTATGGTACCTTTATAATAGCATTTAAATAAAAGAACAGACCCACTACATAGTATTTATTAACAAAGGTTTTAAACACCACTTTACAATAACTAAGCAGTTCATTACATACAAAATTATTTTTACTATTTAGTTCATATTAACAATTATACATCTATTCATCCATCTCCATCCAAATCCTCCAGGTCAGAGTCGCAGAGGACCTGAGGCATAGCTTAGCTGTCGTGGAGCGAGAGGCAGGGAACACCACGGATAGAGGGACACAAACAACTATGCATTGTCAGATTTACAGCCACGGACAATTAAGAATCACTTAATCGAAAAATCATGTCTTTAAACTGTGGGAGGAAGCCTGAGTACTGAGAGAAAACCCAAGCAGGCACACAGAGAATAATATGCAAACTTCACATAGAAGCACTCGAGTCAGTCAGCTGTGAGGCAACAGTCATTTCAATTTACAACTGATAATAATCGTTGTTATTGTTCCAAAT